ATTATCGACGCGACTGCAAACTCATCAGCGCGACGTGAATATTTTAATAACATGCGCCGCAATTAATATTATCTGAATTATTTCATAGCGGTCTTTTAATCATTGCATTAATTAATACTACTGCCATATGCAATCTATGTAAATCAAACGAAGCCTCAATAATATTCCGCCGAGCAGCAAAGCGTTAAATAACCCGAATTATGATAGGATGGGTATAAATATGAAATGCTTTACACGAATTACAATTTTGGAAGCGGTCTATTGTTTGCAAATTGAAGCGAGTGTAAGAATCGTAATAAATGAATTGTGATTTATGAATTATCCTCGAGATCATCGTTGATTGCTCGCCACGTTAACGATTCGTTTTCGTTCACGCGATCTCCATTAAAGATGAAAGGGACACGCATACCTCGCTAAAGCGACTCGTGCGAGTTCAAGGTGAACAGTAATGACACGTAAAGAAGCGATCCGTTTCACCAGGCTGCGGCCGACAGTTTTCATACAAAGTCATTCGTTCGAGCGGACACTACATTAAAATTTGCGATGCAACTTTTCTCCCTCTTTCTCTCTCTCTCTCTCTCTCTCATGCAAGAGCGAAACCGACCACGACTATTCACAACTCGATTCTCGGGAAAGACATATTTTCTCGTTTTCTCATCGACGCGCCGCGACTTTCTGCGGTCTCGAGTCTTGTTTTAGTTTTATACGATGTCAACGATTTCTCCAACTGTCGCGTTAGAAACAAATCGTGCGAGGAAAAAAAAATAAACCTCCAATACGTACGACAAATTAATCGAAAGGAGCACGATCGCGAGACGCGGACGAATTTAAATGAGACGACAAATGAGCTCATTTTTCGAGTTCGAGTTTCGCCCCATAACCAGCCGGAGAAGCAATTTGCCGGTGTAACGCAAATTGTCGGTGAAACAATTTCATTGGATGCGGCATAAAGGTTCGCCGCCGTGCGAAACAATAGGAATAGCTACGCCGCTATCGGATTATTCGACGTTTTCATTATAGCCATTGACATCGCCGCGTAAAATATCGATTCGCCGCGAATTCTACGAAACGCGCGGATTTCTCCGTTCCGTGCATTAATATTAATTTTCGAGCTTTTACATTCTCCCTCGCCATTCGGCACACTCGTAACGTAGATTAATTGAGAAAGCCTGTTACCGAGAAGCGAGACACAGCGGTTATTAATGGCATAACAAAATATCGAATGGACGCGCGCGGCCGAAAGCCGACAAATATAAGACGCGAAAACTTTCGAGGCGCGCGAGTGAAAGAAGCAGCCGAGATTTATGGTCGCTCACTACGGAAACATTGTTTTCGGATGAGGGGGACGATTTTACGTTATCCGATTAATGGCGGGTCGAAGAAAGTGCGCGTCGTTTCTACGATGTTTACCGAATTACGGGGAATTAATCAGCATCAAGACGATTAATTGCATCAGTATTCGGCCGGTGCGGCGCACAAAGATATTTCATTTCGATGAAAAAGAATGCGAGTTTTTGTCCGATATCCAGAGAGGGAGAAAGAGAGAGAGAAAGCAAGCTCCAAGTTCCCCATTCGCCCGAAGGAACCTGTCATTAACGTAACGAACGATTCTTGTTGTTCACCGCGGCGAAAGCGTTTATTTCCACGTAGCACTAAATCTAAGCTTGCTTTAGGAGAGCGGGGCGCGGAAACGACGGAGCACAGCTCGAGGAAACAATCCCACGTTTTCTTTTGCTCGTGCCTGGATAAGCCGATGCCCCGAGCCACTAATCACAAAGGAATTACTCGTCGGAAAAAGCCTCCCTTGGTCGCGCAAGATTGTATCCGCGCTATATCCGGATATCCGATTCTCTCGATTCGCCGCGAAAACGAGAGCTACTAACATCTCGTTTAGACGCGAGACGAATCGCGCGAACGAATTATGAGAGAGAGTTCAATGCCGTCGCCGATTTATCGGTTTAAGAGCATCGTAGAACCACTTGCGTAATAACGCGTCACCAAACGGTCGCGAGGGAGCAATTTTGGCGGGAGCTTCTCGGAACAAGTTCGGGGAATTGTCAAAGGCGATGGCTCGTCGAGACAAACGGAGTCGGAGTTCCAACGCGGAGGTCAGCCTGGCGACTGTGCCTTTGCTTAAGTGCCTCGTATTTGGCCTCGTCCGAGGCTACCATTACGCTCCAGAGGGTCGCGCTCCTCTCGTAACTCCGCTCGAGAGAAGACAGCGTCCCGTACATGGCATGCCCAGTTTAGAGCGAACGCGAGTCGCGGTAGATCGCACGAGACTGCCGTCCGTGTACACACGAACAATGGTATATGAAACAAAACGCGCTTCCCGGCTATCCCTACATATCCGCGATCTATGCCATCCTAGAATAGAACCCTTGTAGATCGCGAGATATCTATATCTGCTGATTGATTAGGCCGATTCCGCGCGCTATCAGCTGACATTATCGTACCGTAAGCCAATGCGGGACCGACGTCTCGAGTGGTAGGTATGCTTGATTCATGGACACGCGATATTGTTCTCGATCGTGTCGCCACAATGCTCGCCAATGTTTCCGGTCGGCGCTTAGTACCTCGGCCCAATGGATGTCGACCCAAATCGAAGAGCTAAATTACACCATGTGTCCACATCCGCGGGTACGGGAGATTTGTGGTTTGAAAAAGCTAATAGGAACGCAAGATGGAGGGTACGAGAGAATATGGGTCACTTTGAGGGAAATACGAATCGCGAAATTAATAAACAGCTTTAATTAAGCCGCTCAATACCGAAAATGGTCGAAACATTTCTGGATATTAGCTGACTTTTGTTAATAAATTTCTTCATTTTTATTTTGTGTTTTAGCCATCCCAGGCAAAAATTTCGCACGAAACATTCATCTAATCGTAAGGTTTTATAGTTAAACAATTTCTATAACACACTAAAAGAAATATAAAATTCATGTCTCCGAGATAAATGACATCATTTCTGTTTGCGACAGACCGCGTTTCTTTAATTTCTTCTCCTTTCTAAAATTTCGTAAAAGATTCAGCTAATCGAAAGACTTATAAATATATATTTTATGTAGATTTTAAATTTTGAATAATTTTTTGCAGCATTATGAAAGAAATATAAGATTCATGTTTCTCTTACAACACTCCTCGATATGAAAAAGAAACATGAGATCTCTGTCGCACAATCCTGGATAAATGACATTTCTGTGAAAGATACATCGCGTTTCTGAAACTTCCTCCTTGTAATCCTTAATTTTCCTTTATCATTAGTACGGGGAGATGGAAAGGCGCGCGAGGTTTAACGTCAAGTAAATAGAGCATCCCGAGAAGAAAAGCGGTTACGTAGGAGCGATACGGTAAATGCCGTAAGCAGCCGGGCCGAGCAGCTTCGAGGCGCCATGCTGGCCGATAATTGCGTCTTTCGTTGTCGGGATACTACAAGAGACGATCTCCCCGCGGCGACCTACCGCAACGATATATATTTCGAAATAGCGGTGTTACTTACATACGAACGCTTCCTCCTCCCGCTCCTCCCTTGGATTCCCGCGTCAACCTTCGCCGCTCGTCGAACGAGACGAACCATGTCGGACCTTCTTCGCTCTACCGTAGCCAGCCCGTAAAAGCTTGTAGGAAAGAGCAACGTGAAACCACATCGCTGTCTTGCGGCAACACCCCGGAAACTATAAAGCACAAGATGAAAAATAGTTTAACCCTATCGAAACGTTTACCGCCGCTTCCGACAGCGACTTGAATTTGGCGTCGATTAATTTGCACGATGACCAACGTCGAAACTTTCAATATCGTATAGTAACCTATCGAAAATTTTTAAATTTCACCATTGGCCGTCCTGCAAGTTTCAATCAACGATCAAGTTTAAAAATTGGAGGGTACATGCAAATATATATGAATATAAAATATCTCTTCTTCACATTTTTTGTCTAGGGAGAAAGAGGAGAGAGACGCGGTAAGATCTCGAGTAATTTAAAGGCGATTGTTTCTTAGGAAAAAATTAATTCGCGATCTCTTCTCTTCCTTGCGGCTTTTTAATATTCAACTTGAAATAACTTCTTTTAACTAGCGTTTATAAATTAAAATTCTGTGCAGTTAAAATTAGTTGAGAAATATTACGCATTACATTTCTCCTTCTCTCTTGCTCAAACTTTCTGTGGTATAAAAGTTGATGCTGATTTTACTTGATATGCGATACACACGTAAAAAAGAAACAAAAAAAAGAGATCATTTCACTGTTACGCGAATTAGGATTGTAAAATTAGTAAATTGCGTTTTTTCTCTCTAATAATTTTAGCTCGCTACTTCATATGGGCGTGCTGTTGCATTGCTTATTTATTGCGCATGTAAATTTTATATATTAATTACCAGCAGGGTCTGTCGTAATATCGCTCTACTGCTAAAACATTTTATTCATTTTGCAAAGTGTACACATAACTACGGTAATGAAGTCGTATTCATATTCGCATGGGTAGTATATTTACGGTCTCGGTAACAGAGAACAGAAACAATGCAAAAACTACGCCGGTTTGACTGTTACAAAAACTCAATTACTTCACCGTTTCGCATTCCACGTTGCGACTGGAAAAAATGGCGCATTATATTTGTTCCACCTCTTCGTTTTATTCATCGAAGTAACTGTTTTTTTTAATTAACGAGAGAATATACTCTAAAGCGCGTATTCTAAAATTAATTTTGTCGAAATTAATAATAATAATAATAATAATAAAAACCAACGTACATCTATCTTTACCGTTCACAGAGGCAAAATTCGCAGGGAGTGAAACGCAGCCGGCATCGGTGTACACAAGCACCGCCGGTAGCCGAAGGGTTAAAATTGGCGAGAAGAGCAGGAGGAACCAGATCGCGTGGCGCGGAGCGGACGAATACCAACCTAATCGCGGCGCGTGTGTGCGGGCGCGGATTTAGTTCGAGGTGTCGCCACGGGTCACGGCGGCGCTGCGCCGCCGGCGCGAACCTCAGTCCGTCACGGGGTCGCGAGGGGTACGCATTACTCTTGTCGATTGCCCGTGCACCGGGGGCTCGAAAACGGACGCGCGAAAAGCACACGCCGCCGCGTAAGTGACCGCGTAAGTCGCCGCTGACAGCGATTTCCCTCACTCACGATACGCGCGTCACGATACAGTGTTTTGTGTGTACGGTTGTGAGATGACGGCGACTTGTGAATTACGATAATCGGCCGGAGAGGCAATCGGGACGGAGGAGAGTGACAGTGCGGGTGGCGGAAGGAAAGGACATCGGTGAAGGAGAGAGAAAGATTGAGCACTGCGGCACGATCACGGAACCTGCGACGTACGCTGCTCTCATTAAACGTGAGCGTTTCTTTGTGGGTCACTTATAAATAATAGCCGCCGATAAAATCCTTTGCGCTCCGAATTTATTTTCACGCTATTTAAAAGTCAGTATTAAATATTTATTATTCAATTTTATCTCTTGTCAGCATGTAGCCTTTAATACAAGAAAGTATACATACTCTCTAAAAGTGAATCAATGTATTATCACTGATTTACAGTGCTTATAACTGCTTGTAATCAGTGACTATTTACTGTTTCTCAGTGATAATACACTGATTCGGTGAATACTATTTTTAGTAGAGTGAATCAATGTATTATTACTGAAAAACAGTAAATAGTCACTGATTACAAACAGTTACAAGTACAGCACTGTAAATCAATGATAATACACTGATTCACTTTTATAATGCAATATAAAAATTATATTAAATGTTATAAATATTTATAGAATGCAAAGAGAGCGTCGCATTCAAATTGTTAGATTTCGATAATAAATTAGGAGGATCGCAAAGGATTAGACATTGTCTAGATATGTAATTTGAAATCATTTTGTCATGTAATAGAACCACTCTTTTGTAAATTTATATAATCAATTCCAAGATATAATATACGTTTTGCGTGCTTCAGTTTAATAGCGTAATAGGAATATACAACGACATTTCCCAAAGAAATCAACGGGAGAAAATCTAATCTGTCTTGTTATACAAACACGCGATACACGATTAAACCTTATTTTTCTTTACAACTTTTCGGAATAATTGCATGTCTGCAAGCACGATAGGATTGTAACAAAAAGATTTATATCTAAAATAGATAATTCAAAAATTCACGTTCTAAAAGAAAGAGATAACAGCATTTCCTTCTTTTTCTCAAAGGCTTTCCACAATTTTTCGAAGCAATATATACTCCAAAATATATGTACATTACTGAAACGAAAATGTGACGAGAAAATGAACGATATTTTCTCAAGGCGACTTTCTATTATATTTTCCTCGGCGATATAAAAAATGCAGGCAGCCCCCCCGTCAACCTCAAAGAGCTCAGCTGTCACCGTGACAGATCGAGGTGTACGCGCCTGATTCGGAACGCGCGCGGCCACCGGCTATTATATCGTACGTGCGAACTGCGCGCAGTCTGCGTTCTATTATCTCCATGTTCGGGCCAATCGTGCATGGTACATAGGTCTTGTCCTTTTGTCGAGTCACTCACGATGTCACCATAATGCGGTAACCGCGTCACGCGTCTCTTTCGAACGGTGAACGCGCGATGCGGTCGTCGACGCTCCGAGGCGCTTTGTGCCGACAATTTCTCGGCAATTGAGCAACTCCGCTGTCACGCAATTAATAATGCGGCCTCGCGAGATAGGGACGAGATAAAGCGGGCGCGCTTACGTTATCGGGCCTGCCTCGGAGAGTTAAATGATCACGATAGTGACGATGCGGAAAGCTCATCCCGCTACGCCATCCGCAATTTCACCCCGTATTATGCACGGGCGATGCACGACGCGTCACGTGGCAACCGCGCCCATTCATGGCAGTGTCATTCTTTCGGAGAACGGAAGTAAAAGGTTTGCAGCGAAATATACATTCGTTACTATGCAAATACAGGGAGAATACCGAAGGAGCGCGTTAAGATTTTCGAGAAGCACTTTGCGAACGTTTACCGGAAATCTACGAGACAACCGCATGGAGATGTACGCCACTGGTTGCTTCCGTGCGGTAACTAATTCTCGTCACGTAAGTCCATGCGTGTGTATGTGTGTGCACGAGTCTACGTCACATTCTAGGTAGAATCATCTCCGCGTCGAACGTCCATGCTGATTACTCGCTGACGTTTGGTTCCTTCGCGATATTCCATCCCTGATTTCGATCTACCGCGGCATTGGATTCTGATAATGGCCGTCGCGTATTTTTCGCCGAATTATTTGACTCCATGTAATTGTCGGTCATAACGTTTTCGCGATAAATTCGCTGCGTAAATAATTAACTTGGCGCGATCGGCGCGTTACGTTTGCCCGCATACAACGCGCGCACACGCGCGCGCTAACGCACACCATCGAAATAGGTTCTCTTTGTGAACAAACGCGAATTGTACGCCGAATGTGTAACCGGACGTATATTTCGAAATTGTGTAAATAGCACGTAGAGCTCGTTCACGTATTCATATCGGGCGCGGCTACGCTGCACCTCGTTGAATAATTCTATCACTTTAATTACCGAAGTTTATAGCGGAAATCAGTGCGATGGAGAATAATTAAATCTCGCGGAGAGGCAAAACGCACTCGCGCACACTCGCCTCGCGACTCCGCTGCGCTTTTCTCCGATGATGTACGGGGTTAGGCGGATTGTTGTAAATATAGCACACGCCGGACAGTGACTAAAGGCGAGAACATCAATCAGCAGTCGCGAGCCATTGTGCTCCACGAGGTTGATAATAAATAGCACCTTCCGTTCTCGCCGGTTATAATTCCTCTTCCCGATCGCTCTCGTGTCTTGTCTCTCGTCGCTGCCTTTTTTCTCATTTTTCCCGCGCGCACACACGCTCGCGTGTCTGTATGTGCCGCGAACAGGTGTCTAACTACTGGCTGCCGTTCCTACAGCTCTGCAAGTACCTTTGTTGTAGCCTTATTGTACTTCTTGCTTCCTGCAGATCGCTCGAATCCGTACAATTACACGTGAACTGCGACCGTAGGATAGTACCCACAACTCGCCTGTCTATCGATTAACCATTAGCGAAATTAATGGTACCCGTAGACAATAGAATAGCGCTATAAAGCTTAAGAAAGCGAATTAGATACGAGACACCCGTGCAGATTGCGCTAGTCGCGTGCGTGCGTTATGTCGTCCTACGTGATCTGCTTTCAATGAAGCGGTAACAAAAAAATAGTATCGTTAAAAGTATTATTTTGATTTATTTCGCTTGACCATGCGTAAAAATCATTTCAAACTTCTCCCTCACTCGCTCTTTCTCTCGACAATTTCTCTCTGTCACTTTCTATCATCATAAGGAATATCGAGTAAATATTATGACGCACTAGAAAATTTTACATATTTCCAGAAATTACATCTCGGCAGCGAGATACTTGGTGACTTGGCAGCCACTCATTTTATAATGGCCGGAATGTTAAACAAGCGGGATGACAGTGCTCACTGCTGGGAAAACTACACTTGACTATTTTATGCACCGCGCTTCTCTTCTCTACCAACTTGAGAGTATATGGTGCTATCTCGCATACGCTCTCTAGTTCAGTTTCAAACTTTAATTAAAAAGGTGAAGTCGCAATAAGGTCCTTCCACTCCTCGGGCTAAACCTTCCCCACTTTGCGCCACCGCCACCATCACCACCATCACCATTGCTCGCCTGCCCATTCGTCAAGAGCCTCGTGTCCGAGAAGCTATTTTAATTTCATTCACAGGGAATAAACAGAACAATGAAATTAATGTCAACATGCACATTCGCGCGTACCTTTAATGTATAGCTAAAGTGTGTATATTTCCGGTACAAATGACATTCTTTTGGCGGTAGTTTATTTTCGACGAATACAAACACAATACATGTATAAAAAATATAAACAAATATATTTTTATTAAACCAGTTTGTTGATGTTACATTTTTCGTCTTGCATATCACTTGATCAAAATTAATTTTAATAATTGATGCGTTTTAATTATTAAATAAAATACTGAGAGACAGCCGTTTCCGATGAAAAACCGTCAATCAAATAATAATGCAATATCTACTTCGTTTTATGTTATTAAATTTAAACCAGACGGGTTTTTAATACAATTTTATGGAAATATCGAGAAATATAATACTTAATATAATACAAAATTACTTTAGTCTATCGTCGAACAGAAGCTGGCTAAACGAAAATTCGGAAAATTCTGCGATGAGTCTTTTCGGTTGAAAGGAAACCGACTCACTCGAGTGGATGTTCAGCAAACCGCGGGATTGAGGTGGCTGTTACCAGGGCGCGCCGATCTTTGATTAAGAATTCAAGCGGAATAAGTCGAAGTCTCTGATAAAAGGTTGCTAAAATTTTCGATAATTCAATACTTTATAAGTTCCATCGTAAATGGGGATTAATGTAGCATTTTTCGATATATTGAAACATGCTATACGAATATGTAAATTCTCCCATTAAAAGGCAAAGATAAAAATCATTGTATATATATGAAAATTACATAAAATGTAGAATTTTAGATAATATTAAAAATTTTCGGTAAAGTGTTCGTATAATTGATAATAACTGTCCTGATAATTTTTACCGTGCAATAAATTATTACGATATTATGATTCTCCTCTGACATCATTTTATTCAATAATTATATCATGTATTTTAATTACAACGTACAACATTTTCATATTCATATACTGCTATTATGTTGAATCGTAGTTATTATATTATTTTCTTATAATTATTTATACTTTAAATTTTCTTTTCTTATTTTTGACACATTCTATTCGTAAATTATTCAACTAACAATGTAATTTATTAATAAAACTTTCTATTCTTCAAAAGTAATAACAATTAATACCATATTATACTGCCGGCATTCATCTACAGTCAGTACAATCAGAGGAGTATTATGCCATGATTCACTTGTTGATAAAAAACTATCATAGCAGTTATTAGCGATTGTATCTGCGCGAGATGCATCTCGTGCGAAGGCAATTATAAAGTCGGCCGACAAGCATGATATTGGATCATATCGGTTGCACGTAATCGCAATCACTCGCAATCCAATGCAGCATTTCACCAACGTCATAAACGCATCACGGTGTCATACCGAAAATTAATCTAATATCAAGCCTAGAAAATATTTATCGCATAATCAATCGATGCGTTCAATCGTAAAGTGCCAATACGTGTATCACAGTGTCACGTTGAAACGCTTCCAACACTCATATAATGAATAATCTATGAATATCTTGTTCCGCCTGCAATCAGAAAATTATCTCATATTCGATCATATCATCGTGATTAACGTGCATATCGATTTCTACGGACTAGAATC